ATCTGCAGAAACTAATCAGAACTCACCCTTTTCTGATACAAGTCTAGCAGAACCTTCTCCATATGATCGATATCATCAGCCTTTATTTCTATAGAAGTGAGTGGTCTTCGCAACATATCTTAAGCAAAATGTCTTCAAAATCACAATAACTATTATTCAGAACTGTTAGAACAAACAAGCTTCAGGACAAAGAACACCATCCCATTCCACCTAATATGGAATAAATAATAAAGTTGTTAGAAGTCCATAGAACATCTGAAATTACAGATATTTTATCTGATTGTAAAAAGAGCAATAAAACCCCAATGCCGTTAAGTTGGCGAGAGCTTCTGTGGTGACGGCGCCTACGCTATGCGACGTCATTCTCATCTCAAATCTCGCGTCGCTTGCGAATCTAATTTCACCATCATCAGTGCTCGTGATCTATAGGGTAAATCCATCGTACGCAATTCATTCATTGAGTTGTCAAAATGTGCGTTTCCATTACTATTTTTTCGCTGTTTTTGAGTAGACTTATTTCTATCTCCGATGTTCACAGTATCACAGCAAAGTCGCTTGTCTCCTTATCACGAATTTTCAGGCCAATGATTGTTCCAGAGCACATCTCAGTGACAGGAGAGCCGCTGAAGAATGTTGGATATGACGTTAGTGCTTCAATTATTGATACAAAGTTTCCCAAAAAAGTATGATTACTAGTTGATTGCAAATAACTTGTCTATACACAAATTTCTGATTTTATGTATCCATTTCGGAGAATTGTCTTGAACTTGGGTTTCTACCTTATGTGGCCCTACGGTTGGTGTAAACTGCTTACCGTAATAAGCTCATGGTATCTAATGATTATCTTAGGTGGGTTTAAGGTATAGAATACCACTAATCATCTTCCAACTTTGTTAGAGTAATTTTTGGCGCACTAGCATACGAATCTATCGCTGATCCTTTCATAATGGGAACAAAGGAAATTCTATGTAAATGAAAATCTGAATCCAAGCTCACCTCTCAAGATGAATCTTTGGAGTCTACAAATTATTTGACAATAAGTTTTTTGATACATCTTGTATCGGTATTGAACCTAAGATTTCTATGCTTATGGTGGAATTACACCTGCAAAGAATCATCCTAGTGGATGAATAAGGATGAAGACAGCAATCCAAGTTTTCATGTTTGCCG